CCCCCCTGGAATGATTGCTGAAACTAACCTAAAACAGGAACTGTTTACTGAAAATTAAGTTCCAGAATGAATTATCTGTAAGAATTTTGACGTTTTAATGTTGTAAAAAATAACAAATTACAACTTTACATATATCATAACGGCAAAAATCTTCTTTGATAATTAAAAAAATTAACCGCGCGAAATTTAAAATTTAACAAGTTCATAAAACATAATAATAAGATCCATAAACATACTAGAGGAGGCCAGGGGGGGGGCTGTGCTCAAAGCCTTCACTTTTCCAGGGAGGGCTGAGCCCCCATAGCCCTCCCATGAATACGCCTCCGCTTTGGCTATGACAGTGTCTATTAAGCTGAGTGTTGTGGCTTCCTTTTTGCAAACTCTCATCTTTGATTTTTATTTCCTTTTGTCCATTTCCCCTTCTCCGTTTTCCAGGATAGTAATAGTATACAGGAATTATTTTAAGATCGAGGGCTTAATTTTTTTCTTTAATATGGGTCTCAGTGCACGTAGCCTGTTGACCTACCCTCCAACCCAGGGTGTACCCGAGCCCCCACCCCCCCCCCCCCGTATACTCCTCTGCCATATTAATTCTTCGGCCAAATTTCAATTACTTTAGAGCTGAGCTGCTCTCTCTGTCTAAGTTACTCCGGCACCGAGGTCCGGACTGGAACGGAATTACATGCTTCAGGTAGGGTCCGGAATTTTCGGCCGTCAGGGCCGAAATTCAACATATTTCGGTCTGTGCTCTTTTACGTTGTTTAAATAAATTTGAAGACACAAAAATCTCTAAATGTATCTTTTAACCTGTTTTACTGTGAGAAAAATTAACAAAGTTGAATTTTTTAAATGTCGACTTTAGCGCAATTTTTTAGTAATTCTTCACGCAAAGATAGCAGTTTACAGTACAGTACAGTTTACAACAGTACCCTTGAACCCTAATTCAGATATAAAATAACATGTTTCGGGTCAGAAAAAAACGCGTTATTTTTGCATTAGTTTCTTCATTGTTTCTTATAAGCAAAAAATGCGCAATTTACTTTTGCAAGAATCCTCAAGTGAAAATAAACATTTTAAAGGAACAAAAACATGGATATCTAATACATACTTGGATCAGAAAAAGCTTTCAAGGGTACCGTTGTAAATCAGGCATTGTCATCTTTGCATAGTGGGTCACCTGAAATTACGTTTTAGTGTCAGTTAGTTTGTTTACTACATTAGGCTGCAATTATATGTACTGTCATAATTTTAGATTTTTTTTCAAAAAAAGTTGTTTTTAGGAATTGTTACCTAGCTCATGAAAGATTAGCGATCAATGGACTGCTGTCGGGTAATTCTTCCCTTTTACAAAATTGAGATTTAAAAAAAGAAATCTTATTTTTAAGTATTTAAGTGAAGATTCAAAGCTTTAACTAGATATGCTAAAAAAATTTAAGTGACTCTAAACTTCAAATCGTTTTTTTTTCAAGTTTTTGTTTTTGATCAATATATTAAATTTAGCATCTCTGTCAAATATTCTAAAAAGGTTTAGATTTTGGACTTCTGTTTTTTTTCTTTTAAATCTGGAGCAAATTTGTTTGCATGTTTAAAAACTAGATATTATTCAATTTTGCGGATTTATATATGAATTGATTCCCGCATTTTCATTTCTTGAAAGGGACGGACCGGCTATGTAAGGTAGTTGAACTGAGTATGCAGTGTTGTGGAATGCTTATCTAGGATTCATTTGAGACATATAAAACTTTTTAAAGATCTATAAATCCTGGGCTTGAGCGCTAATTCAACGTTCAAAACTCCTACTTTGGGTTGGATACGTTTTCAAAATTAGTTTTTTTTTTAATTATTAAATAAGGACGACATAAAATGTAAACAAAATTCTACAGTAAACTAATTAGTTTACTGTAGTTTAATCTTATCATCGAAAATAAGTAATCTTGTCCAATAATTAGTTTCTATTTTCTCATTATTATGGTTTCTCATTATTCACAAAGATTTTCTGCAGATTTTCTGGAATAATTATTGAAAAGACGACATTTGAAGAAGTTGAAGAAATCTGCGAATACATTCTAAGAAAATAAGAAATTCAATATAATAATGAAAACGAAATAATTGATTCTAGCATTGCGTTCCTAACCATCTAATTAGATCACTATAATTTTTACTTTATTTTTTAATAATTTGAAAAAACCGATTCTGAAAACGTAGGAGTTTTTAATGTCGAATTTGCGCTCGAACTCATGATTTACAAATCTTAAAAAAGTTTTATATGTCTCAAATGAATCCTAAAGAAGCTTTCCACAACACTGCATACTCAGTTTAACTACCTTACATCGCCGGTCTGACCCTTTAAGGAAAACTATTTATAATTACTTTGCTAGGTGCTCAGCCCATCACTAATATATCCGGGGACTTGGCCTTGTCGGTCAACGGGGAGATTTATAATCACCTGGGTAAGTCAGAACCAGGCTGTTCGAAATTCATTTTTCTTTGCTTTTATGGCTTTGTCGCTGATTCCAGTTTTTCTATACCAAAAGACATTGATTTCTAAACAAAATATGCAAAATAATATAAATTTTTATTTTTGCAAGGTATATATAGTGTGGAGAATTTCTCGAGATTTTTTTCGGATTATTTCACTCTTCATTTAAATAATTTATTTTAGAATTGCGAGCTGAACTAGAGAAGATAAATCCCAATGTTGTTTTTACAACGGATTCAGATTGCGAAGTCATTTTGCATCTTTTCAAAGAACATGGACCAGAATTCCTGAAAAAGGTAAATAATAGACTATTAGAAATAGCTAACGGCTCATTTATGTACGCATTTTTCAGGTGTACGTGAACGGAATGTACGCTTTTGTTTTGTACGACAACTCTACTGATACATACTTTGTAGCCCGGGACCCTATTGGTAAGGCAAATGTTTTAAAAGTTTCATTAAAAAAATATATAAAATTGAGTAAAAATGATAAATGTAAAAAATGTGAAAAAAATGAAATATTCTATTAAAAATGTTAGTACAAATATAAAAAGGAAAACATATCATTTAAAATAAAAAAAATGAATTTAAAAGTAGAAAAATTTAACATAACAGTAAAGTAAGAAAAATTAAATTCAGGAAAAAATTAAACAAAATGGTTTAATTTCAAGAAGATTAAGAATTTTCAATTTCATTAAAAATAGAAATTTTTTAAAATTTCAATAAAAAAATGGAAATATGTTAAAATTTTAATAAACAAATAGAAGTATGTCAAAATTTCAATAAAAAATAGAAATTTGTCAAAATTTCAATAAAAAATAGAAATATGTCAAAATTTCAATAACAATAGAAATTTGTCAAAATTTCAATGAAAAATAGAAATTTGTCAAAATTTCAATGAAAAATAGAAATTTGTCAAAATTTCAGTAAAAAAAGAAATATGTCAAAATTTCAATAAAAATAGAAATATGTCAAAATTTCAATGAAAGATAGAAATTTGTCATGTCAAAATTTCAATATAAAATAGAAATATGTCAAAATTTCGATATAAAATAGAAATATGTCAAAATTTCAGTAAAAATAGAAATATGTCAAAATTTCAGTAAAAATAGAAATATGTCATGTCAAAATTTCAATATAAAATAGAAATATGTCAAAATTTCGATATAAAATAGAAATATGTCAAAATTTCAGTAAAAATAGAAATATGTCAAAATTTCAGTAAAAATAGAAATATGTCGACTTTTTTATGATATTTTTTTTCCTGTTCAGGAATTATCCCCTTGTATATTGGATATGGATCTGATGGTACTATTTGGTTCTCCTCGGAACTAAAAGGTAATTTTTTCCAAAAAAAATACCCCCTCCCCCCCCAAAAAAAAAACACATATATTTTTGGATTCATCTTTATTTTAATCTCGAATTTTATGATGATTATTCCTATTGCAAAATCAATCTCTTTTCCTCAAAATAATTGATTTTCTATTAAACTTCCAAACAACAAATATGAAGAGTAAAAATTTTTTTTTTATTATACAAGGCTATCTTCTATTTCATTTGTGAACATTTTCTCTCTTTGAATGCATTGTAACATAAAACGAAAAAGCGGATTTTATAAAAAAAAATTCGTGGATTTTCAAAATTGTCAAAAATCGAATTTTGTTAGAAGCAAATATTTGAAAATCGATAATTCATAAACCTTCCCTGGGGTTCCGTGAGGTTCCACACAAAATTTGGGCCTGATCGGTTCAGCCGTTTTGACGTTTTTTGGATACAGAGAGACAAGCAAAGTATATATATATAGATTTAAGATATCAATTATTTTTCTGGGTATTTGTTTATTTGTTTCCTTATTGACATGAATAACTCGAAACTAAAAATCCTCACAAAAAAATGAAGAAAGTTGAACAAGAATTACAACATTTTAAAATTATTTTTAAGAACCTAATCTGAATTTTAGTCTGAAAAACACCCCCCATGATAATGCATTACACTTTTTATAAACAAATTTTTATTCCTTGACTTTCTAGGTCTGCAAAAGAACTGTGATCACATCGAACTCTTTCCACCAGGTATAAATTTTCTTTTGATCATTTGCGGGAGTTTGTAACATTTACTTTTATCAGTGACGGAGTCGGGAATATTTCTTGTAATCATTGCATGGCGGGAGTTTTTAACATTTACTTTAATCGGTGACGGGAGTCGGGAATATTTCTTTTGATCATTTGCGGGAGTTTGTAACATTTATTTTAATCAGTGACGGGAGTCGGGAATATTTCTTGTAATCATTGGCGGGAGTTTGTAACATTTACTTTAATCAGTGACGGGAGTCGGGAATATTTCTTGTCATTGGCGGGAGTTTGTAACATTTACTTTAATAAGTGACGGGAGTCGGGAATATTTCTTGTAATCATTGGCGGGAGTTCATTTACTTTAATCAGTGACCGGAGTCGGAATATTTCTTGTCAGTGGCGGGAGTTAGGAATATGTATTACAATTACAGGCGGTTTTCTGGAATATGTACTGCAATCAGAAGCGGGAGTCTGTTCACATTTCTTTCAATCATTGGGCTAGTCTTTTAAAAAAAACATTTTAAATTAATGCTTGAAAACTTTAGATTTTGTGCTTAAAAAAGAAAGTTTATACTATTTTTAAATAATTGCTGACTCACTTCTATTCCGCTATAGGCCATTATGTTGTTGGAAATTCCTTGAAGAAGGAGAAATTGAACCCTGAACCTAAACCCTTCTATCAGGTTCTTGTAAATCTTTTATGAAATTCAAATTTAGGATTAATTATTAGATTTTAAAAATTGGTAAAAAAAACTTTGTAATTGTAATGTTGTGTTAGCTGTTAAATAACACAAATGTAAAGAGTTATGAAATATTGTATAAAAATGTTCGTATTAGGATGAATGGATTTCTAATCCTGATTTTATTCCCTGCAACCCAGTAGACTACACAGTATTGAGGTAAACCAACTTTTTTTTTAAATCTTGAAAAGCTTGAGGAGCTGAGTAATGGCATCTTTTATCCCTCTTTTCGAAACCTTTTACCCAGGGAAAACACAATTATCACATTTATGTCGCTAGGCACTAAATATCTGAATATACGAAAGAAAAAATTGTTCAAAAGGTGGGGATAATTATTCAATATAACCCTCAGGAAAAAATAAAAAAAAAACTTTTCATCTTTAAAAGACATTTTTCCATTTTACAATTTTTTTTAAATGTCTTGATTTCGAAATGATTTTGCAGGAATAATCTTGAGAGTGCTGTGCGTCGACATCTTCTGGCTGAGGTTCCCTTCGGAGTTCTTCTCTCAGGTATAAAACATAAACCACAGGACTTCTAGCTAGATATAGAGACAATAACTTTATTCGTTTTTTTAAGACTTCTTATAAGTCACCAAAACATACTGTTCCATAAATGGTTCCAACTTCAATATCTTAAAATACGCATACTATTTCTTAAATGTCGTCTCCTGTTCCACAGTTTTATTGTTTTCACTGAGTAAAATATTTCATTACTAAATTGTATAGGTGGGTTGGACTCCTCTCTGGTTGCTTCTATAGCACTAAGGGAATACAATAAGGCTGGAAATCAAGGAAAATTAAGGTAAAAACATAAACTATATTCAAGAACTTGAAGAAGTAAGTTCATGGCATGTCTGATTAACAACTGTACCCTGTAATCTTCAATCAGAGTTCAAAGATAAAGATATTGTTGTATTTATCTTAAAACGCGTGTATTTTGACAATTTACTTGTATCTTCAAGTCACTAGTAGAGATCCGTAATTGTAAAAATCAATTTTAAGATATTTTAAGATCTTTCTTTAAATTAATTTTTTTCACAAAATTTTAAAAAGAGCAGTTATTTTTTGCTCTGGCTGTTTGTTGTATCTTCTTTTTAGCGTATAATACATACATATTTTGTTCCTCTCTTGTAGATCTATGCATTCTAATCTCTTACTGTTTGTGTTCCAAGCAGAGGTGTCAAATTTCTCTGACAAGTTATGTTGTGGATTGATGATGCAGCTTTTTGATTCAACTATTGTTTATATTTATTATATATTTCTTACAGGTTGGAAAAGTAAAAGTCACTGCTAAGTGGGGTTTGGATATTCTGAGCATCCATTGTCAGAATTTCGCTATTATAATGACAAATGGGATAAGAAGGTGTGGATATATTCGACAAAAGAATTCTTGATTCTTGTAAGTTTATCTCAGACAGATACTTGTAAATGGAACTGACATCTTGATGCTTATACATAGGACCAGATTCAATCCAAAGAATTAGCATCTTTCCGACGGGTTCGGATACTTAATAACAGCTCACCAGGATTTTAAGGAGTATATTTAAAGCTGTCAGTAGCAGAATCTTGATCCAGCTAGGTAAAAGACATCCATTCTCCAGGGAATACAGTGTTAAAAGATTAATGCATGCCTTCAATGTTACTTAAAGTTCCGTTTTTTTTCTTTTCTATTTGTGTGCAGGGGTGTATTACCCCCTATGTACACCCCGAACTAAAGTTTTCTAGTTTGCCATCTCTCACCAATTTTAAGATTTAGAAAGAGGGATAACTTCATAATTTTTACTCATAAAAGATTTAAACGCTACCATTGTCATTCAGACATGCCACACTAAAAATGTAGTGTCACTTGAAATTATATCTATATATTCTCCTTAAGTTTTTTTATTTTTATTTTTAGATCTTTCTGTATTGGTTTGAAGGGATCCCCTGATCTGGCTGCTGCAGAACAGGTTGCAAACTTCCTGGGGACCCGACACTTCTCATTCGAGTTCACTGTTCAACAGGTACAACATGTACTGTACAAATAGGTTGCACTAACTTTCTGGGAACCTGACACTTCTCATTCGAGTTCACTGGACAACAGGTACAAAATGTACTGTAAAGATAAGTTGCAAACTTTCTGGGGACCTGACACTTCTCATTCGAGTTTACTGTACAACAGGTACAATATGTTCTGTACAAATAGTTTGCAAACTTCCTGGGGACACAGCACTTCTCTTTTGAGTTTACTGTACAAAAGTAACAATATGTACTGTACAAACAGGTTGCACTAACTTCTTTGGAACAAGACACTTCTCAATTTAGTTCACTGTACAACAGCTACAATATTGTTAAAACAAATTCGAAATATAAGGAAGACGATTGTACCGACTCAAATGCCGATGTTAATTCCCTGGATTTGTGTGTACACAGAATCCTTTTCCGCCATATAACACACCCCACATGTCAAATCTCCGCTCAACCTAGCTCCCGCTTCACCAGTCAGTCAGCCGAAAACACTCACGAGATTCACAACTCCGTCTCAACCCTGGCTCCTTTGTGATGATGATTCAGATACGGAACCAACAACAGAAGACACTGCTTACACCTAGCTCCGCGCTCCACAAAGTTCCAGAGATCCGGGCGGAACCAGACTTCCTTCCATTATCCTGTATACAGGATAAGTCCGCAATCTCTCCCTCCCACAGGAGAAGGTAACAATAGTTCGCTCCGCAGGAGAAGGTAACAATAGTTCGCTCCGCAGGAGAAGGTAACAATAGTTCGCTCCGCAATGTTCCAGAGATCCGGGCGGAACCAGACTTCCTTCCATTATCCTGTATACAGGATAAGTCCGCAATCTCTCTCCCTTAGACTAAGCCTAGTTGTGAGAAAGCCTGCCGTCAAGATTGATGATCTGCATCACCATCATGAAGTTCTACAAACACCTTCTAACTGATATTCGTCTATAGTTTCTTTATTAATTTCTAAACCAATCAATTTAAGCCCCACTTGGGAAAATATTTCATAACCTTTTGTTTTCATAAATAAAGATTAGAAATACCTTTAGATCTCTTTTTATTTTATCGTATTGACTTTTTTTAAAGTCAACAAATATGTACTGTACAAACAGGTTTAAAACTTCCTTGGGACACAACACATCTCATTCGAGTTCACTGTACAGCAGGTACAATATGTACTATACAGACAGGTTGCACTAACTTCCTGGGGACCCGACACTTCTCTTTCGATTTCACTGTACAATATGGATTGTACTAACTTCCTGGGGACCGAACACTTTTCATTCAAGTTCACCATACAATATATACTCTACGAATATGTTGCAACCTTGCTGGGGACACAACACTTCTGAAAAATTTTGAAATTTGAAGTCATGATATTGCAGTGGAAGAAAGTTCCAAAGCATGCTTATGTTCCAAACCTAACACTGAGTGTCATGTTTGGGCCAAATCACATTTTGTAACTTTCTTCCCCTGTGTTGGGAACACACAAAGTGTAATGCAAAGAAACTCAAGCCGATGCTGGGTTGTTCACTGCAAACTAATGTTTAGGGTCTAGATGTACTGCATGATGTTATCTACCATCTGGAGACCTTTGATGTGACAACTGTAAGGGCCAGTACTCCAATGTTCCTACTGTCTAGAAGAGTAAAGGTATAAAATTTGACTGTCGGTGAGATTTGATTTAGGATTTAATCTTTAAATTTGAAAAAGGAAAAAAAGTTTGGCAACTGGAGTAAAGATAGTGCTGAGTGGGGAGGGTGCAGATGAAATGATGGCCAGATATTTATATTATTTTGTTCAGGCAACTGGAGTAAAGATGGTGCTGAGTGGTGAGGGTGTAGATGAGATAATTGCCGGTTATTTATATTATTTTGTTCAGGCAACTGGAGTAAAGATGGTGCTGAGTGGGGAGGGTGCAGATAAAATGATGGCCAGATATTTATATTATTTTGTTCAGGCAATTGGAGTAAAGTAAAGATGGTGCAGAGTGGGGAGGGTGCATATGAGATAATTGCCGGATATTTATATTATTTTGTTCAGGCAACTGGAGTAAAGATGGTGCAGAGTGGGGAGGGTGCAGATGAGATAATTGCCGGTTATTTATATTATTTTGTTCAGGCAACTGGAGTAAAGATGGTGCTGAGTGGGGAGGGTGCTGATGAAATAACGGCTGGATATTTATATTATTTTGTTCAGGCAACTGGAGTAAAGATGGTGCTGAGTGGGGAGGGTGCAGATGAAATAACTGCCAGATATTTATATTATTTTGTTCAGGCAACTGGAGTAAAGATGGTGCTGAGTGGGGAGGGTGCAGATGAAATAATGGCCAGATATTTATATTATTTTGTTCAGGCAACTGGAGTAAAGATGGTGCTGAGTGGGGAGGGTGCAGATGAAATAATGGCCGGATATTTATATTATTTTGTTCAGGCAACTGGAGTAAAGATGGTGCTGAGTGGGGAGGGTGCAGATGAGATAATTGCCGGATATTTATATTATTTTGTTCAGGCAACTGGAGTAAAGATGGTGCTGAGTGGGGAGGGTGCAGATGAGATAATTGCCGGATATTTATATTATTTTGTTCAGGCAACTGGAGTAAAGATGGTGCTGAGTGGGGAGGGTGCAGATGAGATAATTGCCGGATATTTATATTATTTTGTTCAGGCAACTGGAGTAAAGATGGTGCTGAGTGGGGAGGGTGCAGATGAGATAATGGCTGGATTTTTATATTGTTTTGTTCAGGCAATTGGAGTAAAGTAAAGATGGTGCAGAGTGGGGAGGGTGCTGATGAAATAACGGCTGGATATTTATATTATTTTGTTCAGGCAACTGGAGTAAAGATGGTGCTGAGTGGGGAGGGTGCAGATGAGATAATTGCCGGTTATTTATATTATTTTGTTCAGGCAACTGGAGTAAAGATGGTGCTGAGTGGGGAGGGTGCAGATGAGATAATGGCGGGATATTTATATTTTCATAAAGCACCAAACCCTGAAGAACTCCACAAGGAAACTGTTAGGTATGATAACTCAGGTTCCATGTCTAGCTTGTCAAGTATCTATAAATGCTCACCTTTTTCATACAATTAAAAGATTGAAAATAAATTGCGGATATCTCTTCAAACATTTGTGGATTTACAAAAACTTCTGACCTTAAACACCAAGTCCTGCCAATCATCTACATCATGAATCTGATTTTTAGAAAATTAAAGGATCTACACAAGTATGATTGCTTGAGGGCGAACAAGTCCACCATGGCCTGGGGTCTGGAAGCCAGGGTCCCCTTCCTGGACCGGGAGTTCTTAGAGTACGCAATGAACCTGGATCCTTCCTGTAAAATGTCAGGAGACAGGTCAATCTAATTTATTTACTCACTTAAACAGATGATTGTGAAAACTTCAATGTTTGCAATTTATGTCGCATAGTGACAACTGTAGAACAACGTCATTACAACATTATTAAAACGTTATTATAACGTGGGTTGGTTGCTTGGCTTTTTCATGCAAATCAATATTAATTACCTCTTGTAAAATGTCAGGAAATATGTCAGTTATCGTTGTTCTTATTTTGTTTTGGTTATTGTTTAGTGGTCTATATTAAACCAAACCTCCCCCCCCCCCAGGTCACCTTTGAAAATTAAATTAAAAAGAAACTAATTCTGAAAACTCCTTCTTTGGGGTGGATAACCCCCAAAGAAGGAGTTTTGAACGTCGAATTTGCGCTCAAAGTCAGGATTTACAGATCTTTAAAAGTTTTATATGTCTCAAATGAATCCGAAAGAAGTTTTCCACAACACTGCATAGTCAGTTCAACTACCCTACATAGCCGGTCACTCCCTTTTAAGAAGTATCAAAAGGAAAAAAAACTTGCATTCCGATACTTTAATTCTATTTTCCTCCAAAGTATCAAACATTATGTTTTCTCCCTGTTATTGTTCTTAATTAGATGTACTATTAGGATTGAGAAGTATGCTTTAAGAAAGGCATTTGATACTCCTGAGGATCCGTATCTGCCTCAAGAGGTTTTATGGAGGCAGAAGGAACAGTTCAGGTTTAAATTTACAATTTTTTCTAAGTTATAATGGATATATACAATCCCTTTTCAGTTCTTGTTCAAATATAAATAAACAAATCTCTTTTAAGTTCATAATTTCAAATATATTCATTTAACCCCTTTTTTAGTTCATGTCCAGATATATACAAACAATCCCTTTATAGTTCATGTTCGAAAATGTTCATAAAAATCTTTTTTTCAGTTCAGGTTCAGACATATTTCCTTTTGATTTCAGTTTTAAATACTTTGATAATGGTTTTTATTTTGATATGGATAGATAATGGTAAGATAAGATAAGATATAGTTTACAGTAATAGAGTTGGATGTATATGGATAGATAATGGTAAGATAAGATAAGATATAGTTTACAGTAATAGAGTTAGATGGATAATGATAGATAATGGATATTTTCTAGTAATAGAGTTGGATGGATATGGATAGATGATGGATATTTTCTAGTAATAGAGTTGGATGTATATGGATAGATAATGGATATTTAGTAATTAAGTTGGATGGATAATGTTGTTAAAATAAATTCGAAATATAAGGAAGACGATTTTTCCGACTCAAATGCCGACGTTAATTCTCTCAATGCGTGTTTACACAGGAAGCAAGCACACCACATGTGTCAAATCCCCGCTCACCTTAGATCCCTGCTTCACCCGGCAGTCAGTTACAAACACTCATATTCACAACTCCGTCTCTACCCTGGCTCCTCCATGATGATGATGCAGATACTCAGCGCAACGCACCTGTTGATCTGCCCCACCAACATGGAGCTCTACATCACCCCCCCCTGACTCCTTCGTGCTGATGATGCAGATACTGAACTAACAGCAGGCATGCTTATACTTCTGATCTCCCTATTAACTTCTTGAGAAGCTTACTTAGGAAACTTGTGCACGGCTTTGTCCGAAGTTTCCGCTATCTCGAGTTGCCTTGCCTTCGATCCATTGATAAACCCTGTTGTCCCAGTTCCCGGATCTGCTCCACCAACATGAAGCTCTACAACACTCCCATGAAGCACCATCTAATATCCATCATTAATTCCTTTTTTGTTAATTTCTAAATCAACCAATTTTAACTCTGCCTTAAATGCAAATATTTCAAAACAATATTATTTTTCTTAAATAAATGTTATAGAATATTTGGGTTTTTCCTGATTTCTTTATTTGTATGCTTTCTGACCTTTTTTAAAGGTCAACAAATGTATATAGATAGATAATGGAAATTTTCTAGTAATGGAGCTGGATATGGATAGATAATGGAAATTTTATAGTAATGGAATTGGATATGGATAGATAATGGATATTTCTAGTAATGGAGTTAAATATGGATGGATAACAGATATTTTCTAGCAATGGAGTTGGCCACGGATGAATAATGGATATTTTCTTGTAATGGAGTTGGATATGGATAGATAATGGGTATTTTCTAGTAATGAAGTTGGATATGGATAAATAATGGATATTTTCTAGTAATGGAGTTGAATATGGATAAATAATGGATATTTTCTAGTGATGGAGTTGGCTACGGATGGATAGATCATCTGAAGATTGAGGCAGAGAATTCTGTGACAGATCTTCAAATGAAGTTTGCTTCTTCAAGGTTTGTTTTCAAAACAATTACTAGGCATCCAGGGTGCTTCGCGCCCCTGTAGTGAGGCTCTATCCTGGTTTTCTAGTATTAAAGAAACTGAAATCTCAAGTGACCCTTCATCCAAAGATGGCAATGCCCGATTTACAACGGTACCCTTAAAAGCTTTGTCTGATTAAGTATGAATTAGATATCAATGTTTTATCATTTTTAAAACCAATTATTTTTAATTGTGGTTTCTCTTCATGAGTGACTTGTGCCTACTGCAAACATAAATGATCATTATCAGATTTAAACACATTTAAACCTAGAAAAGAGACAATGTTTTGATCGACTTTATTGATCAGTTAAAGGTTTCAAGGTACCGTTGTGAATCGGGCATTGCCATCTTTGTAGGGCTCACTATTTAAATTGAGTTTACATTCACGTTAACGTTACTTTACTTGTGCGTTTTCTCTGTACATTTTAAAACAGCTAAACATTAAAGGGAGTGTTCGCGAAAAATGAAAGGGGGTATAGGCTTAATGCGATCAAAAGCGCCTTTGATCGCTTCTAATCTTACTTAATTCTATCTGTTGCGTCTATAAGGAGAAAATTGTTAAAGACGTCTCATACCGAATAACATGGCGTCCATACAAATTGAAAAATTGCAACATACGACTTAGACCGTAAAAAAATCAATTTAATTTCAAACAAATCATTCAGATATTACGACCTATAGTCATCGATTATCTTTCGCCACATTTATATATAGTTGATTTTTCATAATATGTTTTAATTGTTATGATCTGAGAGTTACTTATAAAAACATTTATTCCTGTTTCGAGGATTTTTGGTAATGAAGACAACATTTTCATATTTTCCAGGAATGTTCGAAAACAAGTTGTAAGCTAAATATTATTTTTAAAACAAAATCAAAACTAGTATGAAATATCAAATATATACAAATGTGGCGAAAGATAATCGATGACTATATAGGTTGTAATATCTGAATGATTTGTTTGATATTAATTTGATTTTTTTACGCGTATGTTGCAATTTCCTCAATTTTCTCCCTTTAAGATATCTTTACGTTTTTCAAAATAAAATTTGAGCGACATATTTCTATTTGATTGGATTTATTGCATCGAAAAACTAGGTTAATATTTTGTATTTGAATACATAAATAGAAATATAAAAGATATTACATCGGTCTCTTGAATAAGCTCGGTAAAGAAGACGACCTCTAGCAATGTTAAGTGAATATTCTTCTGTAGCTAAATTGTGATAATCTATGCAAAAGAGCTATAAAACATTATTTATAACAATTAGTTTTAAAATGTGTAAATTATAGTCTTCTGTTTTATTCTAGAGTAGTATACCTGACGGGGCCGTGGGGGGGGGGGCTGAGTCCCAATTCCCTTTTGGAAAGTTATAAAATGAAGTTAGCCCCCCCCCCTTCTTGGCAAATTATTGTGAAATCATTTAATAACAGATTATTTTGTATTGGTTTCTAATTAAATGTGAAGTTTTGCTGGATCAAACCAATTTATTCGATTATCAAATTCATTCATTTTTAAGGTTTCTCTTGTATAACAATTTGTGTTCACAATTTTCACGTTTATCTAACTTACTTTATTAATCATACAGTGTACGTTGTTCTTCACTGTACTCTGTACACTGTAAATGTACAATGTACATTATATGTACGAACCATTCTTGAGATCATTGCTCTGTACTTTGTACAATGTTCAATGTACATCATAGATTTTCCATTGTAAAAGTACGATGTAAAATGTACATTTAACACAAACTATACTGTACAACCTACAACTTACAACGTACAATGTACATGTAATTAATTAAAACATTAATTATAGTTTTCCTTTATCTACTCGACATACTGAAGAGGAATACATTTACACTATAATAATAATATTTTTGTACAGTGCACATTTTTTAGAATTAAATTTTCTAAACTTTACATTTTATGTACAGGTTCCCTGTGTCTACTCCTCGTACTAAAGAGGAATACATGTACCGGGACATCTTTTCTAAACACTTCCCCGCACCCGCAGCAGCTGCTACAGTGCCCCAGGTATGTACACGATACAGTACTGTACATGAAAGCAGTATTTATTTTGTAAAATAACTTTTTTTGCATGGAATTCATTGATTGCGTCAAACGTCTTTAACATCTTTGTTTTTTCTCCAGGGTAAATCTGTAGCATGTTCCACCCCTGCAGCTATGGCCTGGGATGAATCTTTCTCCAGAAACGCTGATCCTTCCGGTCGAGCCATTGCAGGAGTTCATGTTAAAGCGTACGAGTAAAATCGTGGAGTTAGCGTTCAAGAAGAATCGCGCTGAACCGTACGAATTAAATGCAATTTTCCAAGGTAATAATGAAAGGAAAGTTATTTCAGAGGAGTATGCATTTTAAGTACTGCAGTGTACTGTCTCTGGGCGGTAAAGTAAACACAAGACAGTCTGACATGGGATCTATTTTCACCAAAAAAATCTATGAAAAAATTCTGGTCAAAAGAAACTATTAAGTGAATTATCAAAATTTTCAAAACTAAATGCTTTTATCCTCCTCGGATAGTAGAAGAACACTGATGCAACTTTTCTTGTTTATAAACACCGCCCAGAGTGAACTGGTTTCAATGTACGCAGCTAGTATATGCAACCGCAATTAAGTTTCCTTGCGTTATTACCTTGCAGTTTTCTTTCAAAAATAAAGCTTATCACTGATGTTACGTATCGTCAGTACAAAAAACATTTTTTTTCTTTTTGTAAAAGATTTGTAATACATTTTCGTGCTAAATGAATATTCTTAAAAAGCTGTCATGAAAATTTATGTTAATTAGGTTTTAATGTTATTTCGTAAAAATACGAGCAAGCAAAAAAAAATACAAAAGGTATCACTTTTCATTAATAAGGTCGAACTTGTATTTTCTGTATGAATTTTTTTTATTTATATCTCTCATTTAATGATTTGAACCAGCTTTAGAGTTAAGTAGATACGTACTCCTTGAACTTTGCGACTCAAAAATTGGTCCCTAAAATTTTATATCATTATCTCAATATCATATCATCGTATCATTACTCCAAAATATTTTTGACCATAAATTTATGCTGAAAAAATATTGTTTTTTGAATGAAATGATTATTTTCAACATAAAATAGAAGTTTCAGGGCCCAATATTTGCGTCAGTCGGCGTTCATTCGTAGATTGTGACTTCACCTCCAAGACTGGTGATAGGTCGGGAGGATAGAGAGTTCTTGTCTCCTATTGGCTGTTGCCAATTCCTTCCCTGATTTCATTGGAGTATTTTGAATAACTCTGTTATTCCCCGAATTATAATAAACACAGATAAACTTGGTCGACATGTCGCATCGCAATGGAAAGGAAGGTTCTAGTCATAGATTGTTCTAGTGATTCATTCTTCCTTATCAAGCTCTAAACTTGGATTTTCAACCAGTTACAACTAAATATCCAAGTGTGACACATGGAACACATGTCAACCGAATTGTTGATATCTTTTAACCTATTAAACTAAAAATTGGTGGATGAACGATAGGTTGAAAATCCTCCAACGTTTCTTTAAATCCGCCAAACTGCCAGAAGAAATTTCAAAAATGTCATCGGAGCTAGTTACAGATGTTATTATAATCGGAGCTGGGCTTACAGGATTATCCTTAGCCCGTGAGTTGACCGACATGGGGAAGGATATTCTAGTGGTTGAAGCTAGAGACAGAATCGGCGGCCGGATACACACTTTTTCGACCAGTGACGGCGCCCCAGTAGAAATGGGGGCGACATGGTTCTTCCCCCACTTTAGAAACCTGTTCTCTGCCCTGAAGGAGTTAAACATTGATCTAATGGAGCAGTATATGAAGGGAGGGACTATGTACGAGTCTGATTCTAAAACTCCTCCCAGAAAAGTTAATTCTAGTGATGATGGGGACATGTTTAGAATAAAGGGAGGGACTAGCAACATTGTAAACACACTCTACAGCAAGATTGATCCTAGCAGGGTTGTACTATCTCAGGTTGTTACAAATATAAACCAAGTTGAAGGAGGGATTGAAGTTGTAACCAAAGATAAAACTTATCGAGCCAAGAAGGTTGTAACAACCATCCCACCTCAACTTCTGGCTCACAGTGTATCCTTTCAACCTTCTCTACCAACTGGGGTTATAAATACTGCCAAGGAGACCCAAACCTGGATGGGGGACTCCATGAAGGGGGCGATCACATACTCAACTCCCTTCTGGAAGGAGAAGGGGCTTGCAGGGGCCCTTTATAGCTCCTCCGGTCCGTTTCAGCAGATGTACGACCAGACGAGCACAGACGGGACTAAGTTTGCTCTGGTTGGATTTATGCATCCTAGCATAGCAAGGTTCAGAGAAGAGGAGAGGAAAAGAAAGGTTGTAGATCAACTTGTTCGAGTTTTTGGCGAGGAATCCAGGAATTTCCTGGATTATAAGGACACATATTGGTCCGAGGAAGAATTCACAATGCCTGTGAATGCCGGGCGCCTGTACGCACATAAGAATAATGGGCACAGTGTGTATCAACAAGCATATTACGGGGGAAATCTGTATATTGGGGGGACAGAAACCGCGAGCCAAGCGAGTGGATACATGGAAGGTGCGGTGAACAGTGCTAAATTTCTTGCCAAGCAACTAAAAGACGATTTTAAATAAATCAAGAATTCTGTATTCTACATTGATGTGACGTATGTATGTTATACATGAGCTTTCCTGCTTTCCTACTCTATGTTTAAATATAACCAGTGATTTGATGTTTTTTTATTAAAAATATATAGATAAAATATGTTTGATGTTTATTTATTAAAAATATATACATATAATATATTTGATGTTTATTTATTAAAAATATATACTTAAAATATATTTTTCGTTACTTTTAATATAGTTATTTCGTTATGTTTAATAGTTCTGCTGTCTTACAAAAATGAAAAACGTTGCGTTGTGAACAACTAATTTGGTATAAGCATTTTATTAAAACTATTGTGTACTTTATCATTCATGCCAACTTTATGTTCAATATAAATGGTTATTANTCTCTTAACATAAATGTATGAGAGAAGCTGCTAATCTATATTTTTAAATTTTCTTTTCCCTGATATTTAAAAAGTGATCAACCCGATTGTTCCACGTTTCATTTTGGTTTCCTCACTTCCTGCTTGATAAGGTCTACTAATTCAAAATAGACAAAAATACTAGATTTATTAACCTAAAAAATTCGTACTTTTTATCACACAATTTTTTAATGGAAGTTTTGTTAAACCCAATAAACTGGTAGCTTTTCAGCACTCCCTTCAGGTTTTCTTCACAAAATTTAACTTTTTTAGCCCTTTTGTAGGTTTTATACAAGATTGTATAATGTATAAACCAGTGCTTTTGGATCCATTTAATTTTGATGCGGATCCGGATCCTGGATCTGCACTGGAAAAAAATGGATCCGGATCCAGGTCATTTCTTCAAGATTTACTGAATTATTTTAACAGAAAAAATTTTCAAATCTTTCGTTTTATTTCTTTCGCTTATTTTTATCCTAACACTTGATGAACCATTCAGAAAGGAGAAAATTTTTATAATCTCTTAATTCAAAAGTTCAGAGTTGGGTTTTAGAAGTAAAAAAGTTTTTTTTGCAGTGTTTGGTTGATATATTTACTTTCTTTTGAGTATATGAAACCTAAAAAGTTCGTATTTTTTGGCACGTTTTTTGGTTTTTTAGAAACCTAAAAATTTCGTATTTTTCAACCGTTTTCTTTAGGTTTTTTAGAAACATAAAAATTTCGTATTTTTCCACCACTTTCTTGAGTTTTTAAAAAAAAAACTATAAATTTAGTACTTTTTGAGCCCTTTTTAATGTTTTCTAAAATGACTTTATTAAAAACATAAAAATGACGTACTTTTTGAGCACTTTCTTTAGGTTAGTTAGATACTAAAAATTTCTAATTTTTCCAGCACTTTATTTAGGTTTTATAATATAAGTTCTTAAAAAAAACAAAAACTTTCGTAATTTTTTTAGAAATATAAAAATTTTGTACTTTTGAAGCACTTTCTTTAGGTTTTTTAAGAAACCTAAAATTTCGCACTTTTTATGCATTTACTTAAGATTTCGGAAAGAAAGTTTTAAAAAAACTTAAAAATTTTCTTACTTTTTGAGCACTCACTTTACTTTTTTAGAAACCTAAAAATTTCGTACTTTTATGTGCACTTTCTTAAGGTTTTTTAGAAACAAAAAAATTTCGTACATTTTAGCACTTTATTTAGGTTTTATAAATGAAGTTAATTAAAACCCTAAAAATTTCGTACTTTTTCCAGCCCTTTCCTTGGGTTTTATAACAGAATTTCACACGTAATTCAATATTTCATAATACTAAAGCATATTATCCATGCATGATGTAAGATTTAAAACTCCATACATTGTAGAGTTATTAAGAAGAAGCAAAATGTTTTAAATGTTGGCAATTTCTCATATTTTTGCATTGCATGAAAACTAGAGACGCTCCAGTGCGGTTGATACCTACATTTACCCTTCTCTTTCTATCCAGTTTGATGTGATATAGTACAATATATAGAACATATAAGTGATATTATAGAACATATATGTGATATTATAGAACATATATGTGATATTATAGAACATATATGTGATATTATAGAACATATATGTGATATTATAGAAAAACATGTAACATATTTGTGATATTATAGAACATATAAGTGATATTATAGAATAAGGCTAAAATTTGCTCTCAATCGTTGCTGAAGGTTCAGATCACGTGGATTTAACGGTTCTGTCAATATTGCAGAAAGCTGTGACTTTCGATCACAATTCGACCCATTAAACACAACTTTTTAGTCTTTTTTGTTAAATACTTTTTTGTCGGCATATGCATTTCGAAGGAAAAAGTATAAAATAAACAAATCCGTAAGGTAAAAGTTTGTTGAATTATAAACCAAAGCACGTTTGATTTCAAATAGAAGAAACCGAATGCTGCTCACTCTGGTTAGTCCGGGGTGAGATGCAGGTCATAATTTTTAGACCTCCGAATTAGGATCATTTGCTGTTTCATTAGATCAAAAAAAATGTATCATTTACTCTCAGACAAATTAGAATCAATGGAAATTTGTCTGAGAGTAAATGACATTCCTTTTTTAAAAGGTGGTTTTCACCAGTGCAAGCATAAATAAAAAATTTCATTGAAACCCGGCGGGATTTTTCATTTGCCTGCATTGAAAAATCTTAGAAATGCGCGAATTTTTTTTACAAAATTCCAATTTTAAATCAGTCAGTTCTCTTTCAGCATTTGACATGAACAGTCGCACTTTTATTATATTAGTATCCAGTATCCACGACAAGATGATCTTAGGGAAATATTTATGAGCCTGGAACAATTTCAAAGGTTTTTACCAAGTTCTCTTTCATTAAACAAGATGGATTAAGTTGAATCAAACTGTGCCTTAAGGAAATCTGATAATTTATTCTTCTTCAAATGGTCAGTTCTCCGCCAACATCAAACATAAACAGTCGGACCTCAGTCATTACTTTCCTAGTATCCATACGTCAAAATGAATTCGAGATTATTTATGAGAAATATTTGCGAGCCTGAAGGGTCTGGGTATGTCTTCAGATAAATGAGATTCTGCGGTCAGCTGGAACAAGATGAATTTAACTCTACCTTGTGGAAATTTGACTCTTTTACTCTTAAAGGCTCAGCAGCAACAGAAGCAACGTGGGGAAAATTCACAGAAATTTTTTGACAGACCTATTGCAAGCCATTTAAGATCGTCCAAGAGAAGTGAGATTAACTTCTAAACCATCATACATTTATATATATCCTATCTTACATTCTCTATGAAGCTGGATCATGAGAAAATCAAAATCAAGAGCTGAGGGAATGGTTTTTACGGCGAGGAAAATGCATCCACTTGGAAGTCAAACTAAAAGGCATAGGAAGCCAAAGGTTTGCGTATACCTAAGTTATTACATTATTTGAAAGGATTTTGTTTGCTGTTGACATATTCGATCTGGTTACAAAGTTATTAGACAATGTTTCTTTAAAAAACATGCTTTTTTGTTACAACTTTTTTAACACACCTTTGTTTTAATATTTGATCCGATTGCTTATAGTTATGTGGAAACCAAATTTTTTCTTCTGTTTTCACTTTTTTAGACACCCTGTGTCAAAATATGACAACTTGAATAGCACCATTGGATTGCATTTTTCAAGGGCCTGTTAACGTTATAAAGAACAGCCCTGTAGCTAAAAATCAATAATTACCCCCCCATACCCCCCCTTTCAACGCCCTAGCCTAAAAAATAAAAATATTTTTGCAATTTATTGGTGTAAACTATTGATATTTTTAAACTTTGACTATTTTCTTGCCATAACTTATAGCGAGTAATCAGTGCCTTTAGTTGCAAACTTATAATCTGTAAATTGTGTACTAGTTAATAAGTCCTGAAACATAATCTGTAAATTGTGTACTAGTTAATAAGTCCTGAAACAATAAATTTTAAACTCGTCAAATTTATGTGAGAGAAAGATTCAAGATATGAAATAGAAAATGTTCTTAAAAATAGTGTTTAAGAGAAAAAAGCAGGGACGGGAAAGTTTAATAATGTTGCCTAGAATCAAATCAATTTTTGACTGTAATGTTTGTCATTGTCGAGAGAAGAGTTGTAAAACCATTGAAAACCTGGCAGGATTCAATGGAAACTTTCTTATTTAAAGCAATTGAAATGATTTTAGAGTAGCGGGATTCAATGAAAATTGTTGCATACCAAAAAACCAGCTTTTTATAAAGGAATGTCAATTTAAGATAGAAGATTGATCCCAAAGCAAGGTCGTACACAGTGGGAGGGGGGGCATTCCCCCCCCGTGTAGAATTACAATTGTATTCCTATAACGGTAATACATTAAACACAAAACTTAAACTTCTAAAGCATCTTCTATTTTAATTTCGGACATTTTCTCTTTGTATACATTGTGAAACAAAAACTAAACAAGAAGTTGGTGGATTTTTAATTTAATGACATTTGAATTTTATTGAAATTTTGATCATTGATAAACCCTCCCCGGGGGAGGGGAGGAAGGCCAACCACATCAATCTCTAGTCCGAACCACATTCTCATCATTTTCTCGTCCGAACCACATCGAACGAAATCCTCGTCCTTTCAATATTATTTTTTTTAAGTGTCCGATCCTTGAAAATAAATACATTTTTTAAAAATATGGCGTTATAAAGTATATAAAGTATATAAAGTTATATAAAGTAGATAGAAGATAATTTATTAAGAGTTTATTTGATTTTAAATATCACAAATATTAATCATTTAAAAATTAATCTATGTCATATTTGTACTGGGTTACCCACAAAGGATTAGGACGATTAGAAACTATAAAGATATGATAATATCAAGGTCAAAGTTAGTTTATAATTGCTTTTTTTATGATTTGGAAAAGAAACAAACAAATTTACAGTTTTAGAGAATTATGAACATGATGTAATAGACAATGATAATTCTTTAAAGTCGTCTCTGAACTCTCATCCTTTGTGTGTAACTCTGTTTATAAAATATAGATAAATAGTTAACATTAAAATAGCCTCTAATAAATGTTAAAATAATAAAAGGAGTTTTTGAGGAAAACGGTTTTAGAATTAGTACAAGTAAAATGTCTGTGATCAGCGGTCACATCATCCAAACTGAACAAACACCAGCTTGAATATATTTAGAAGACGACATTCTATATTTCCATTAAATCCAAGAGGATACTATTTTATGTTTACAAAATCCTGTTTTGTTGTCTATTACCATCAGCCTAATTATTATACTATATGTACATTTTACATGCATGTTTAGTTCATTGCTATTCTTTGTAATTATATGTATACTAGGAGCTTTGGGCCAATCTTCCATTTAAATCTCTTACAATACTCTTAACATCTAACGCCATCTCCGGAATCCTCAATCTTATGTTTTCATTCTTCAGATGCTTGTTCTCATCCTCTGCAATCTTCAATCTTATGTTTTCATTCTTTAGATGTTTGTTCTCATCCTCTGCAATCTTTAATCTTATGTTTTCATTCTTCAAATGCTTGTTCTCATTCTCCACATTCTTTAACCGTTGGTTTTCATTCTCCAGATTGGTTTTAAGGACTTCTATTGCCTGTAATTTCCTAAGCTTATCAGCAATTTCCTCCTGCAAAGAATGATTCTCTTTCACTAGCAAACTGTTTGCCCACTCTTTAAGAACCATTTCCTTCATCTTCTCAAACTGGAGATCTGACCCTGGTTGGAATCCAGCGTACTCTGCTTGGGCCTTGTAATTAAACATAGAATAGTGGGTGCCATCCTCAGGTGCATATTGGTAGCACTGAAGTGTTGCACAATAGTCATCAGATATATTCCTTAGCTGGTGAGTTTGGAACCATTGTTCATTCATCCAGGTATAATCACCTTTGCTAGCAGTAAAGTCTTTGATAGAAGTTGGGTTTATAGCTGGAGGATTTGTTAATTTATTAAAGATTCTACATTGGATACTTCCATGGAGTACCTTGATTACTGCACTACATCTCCCATGGTTGTGGATTGGACTTTCCGCCCCTGCTGGCCATATTTCAAGAACGTTAGGACATCCTGGTGAGTTCCCTACATTTTCTCCAAGAGTTATTCTTAGATATGCCTTCTGCTTTAGGATCTTGTTGAGGATAAACCCTTTTGTTTGAATGCTATTTCTAATTAGATCTATTAGCCTAGGATCAAGCACCTGGATGTTTTTAATATCATCATAGATTATTTTGCATTCAGAAGGTAGACGGTTTGGGTGAGTGTGCTCAGGATTGATCAAATCTTGTACAGTTAGTTCAAACTCCTTTAGAGATGGAGATGGAGTGAAGATCATTGGTTCCCTTGTAACATAAATCCAAGGTTCAAAATCAATGGATCCTACAGTTGTTTTATCAGCTGTGTTTTCTATGATCTTAATGGCACTGCTGTAGAGAAGAATAGAGCTCTTAGTGCTGGGATGGATATCAAAGAAAATTGTTGTTTTAGAATCATAGCTCTTCTTGAAGTCATACATCATCAATGTTGTTTCTTCCATCGCATGTCCCTTCCCATACTTGATCACCTTTCCATCTCGGTCATAAGAGAACCAGTATGTTTGAGTAACTCCTTTATCTAATCCCACATCACCAGTTTCTTTCATTAGGGTGTGTTTCTCACCTCCAATCTTGATTTTAAACTCAGCAGCATGATTTCCAACCTCAAGAGCAACATAGTTTAAATACTTGTCATAATCATCATCATTGCCATCATTTTTCTTCTCCAAAATAACCACAAGAGAAAATGGGTCATCAAACTTAGAAGTAACATTGATTGTACCTAAATAATTGATGTTGGTTTAAGTTAAATGGAATTTAAGTGAAATTTCAAGTAATCCTCTATACAAAGAGAGCAATGTTTGATTCACAAAGGTACCCTTTTAACTTTTGACTGTTCATCAAGTAGAGAGATTTTTCTTTTAACATACCCTAGCAACCAGCTGTAGGTATAAAATGCCCCAGTTTTATAAAATAAAAGTATATAGTGTCAAGTTCTAAGGTAGTGAGATTATCAAATCTCAATACTGCAAAAACCTCTAGTTTGAAAGTATTTACATTTTTTAATTTCGAAAAAAGGCATTTAATAATCTGAAAAGTGTAAAGAAAATGTACAAAAACTAGCTTTAAAACCTTCAATACCATTTTCTTTTTAAAAAAACATAAAATTTTCGCTCAAAAAGAAGGCATTTTATACAAACACACCAAACTATTAATACACACTTATCTTATGCTTGACCACAGAACATAGATTAATCTATATCTCTTTATACTTAACACTACAACATCAATGGACCAATTCACTATTCAACCAATTACCATTATTCATATACATCATACATTCATTTATCTTCATCCAAATTCGCACACACTTAACTATACCTGCAACTTCTACTTATCACAAAATTCATGATTTACTGACATTGATATTTCAGAAAGCATCAATGAATTCGATAAAAATCAAATTTTTCTAAAATGGTATTTTTTCAAATGTTTTGCTTTTATTTCTTACATATCAATTCTATTAAAAAAATATTTGAAAATTCAATTTTTCCGAGGCCAAAAAGTGTTTTTATCTAAATTTCAGGTATAGAGACATCTATTGGCAAAACTTGGAAGAACCTAATTTACCTAATCCGATCTAAATCTGACTTATGGGCAGTTAAGACCAGTTTGGTAATCCAACCATGCAAGACCTAATCTGCTTTAAGGAGCAAGTTAATGAACAGTTAGGTAACGCAACCAATATTGCCCTAAATTGACCTAATCTGATTAAGGACTAGTATAAGACCAATTAGGTAATCTAATCTGACCTTACCTGGCCTAAACCAAACTTAAGGGACTGGTCATGTTTTGACGTCACCCTGACCTCATGCAACCAAATGGGTCTGGTTGTGCTATTATGAATAACAATATATTTATTACACAGATATTTCTTAAATATATAACAGCTTGCAAATAAGGGGTTTAGCTATCAAAAGCATTTCAGTAGATTCCTTTATCAGTCAAAGGTTCAAAGGGTACCTTTGTTAATTAGGGATGCTCCTCTAGGAATTATGTACGCTAACAATCAATTTCAACAGATCCAAGCCTTTTTTATACTGTGCACACATAGATTGGCTTACACCCATGAAAAAGATAATTGGAAGAAAGAGCTAACTGCATTAGCATTTTGGGTGTGTCTTTAAGTTAATTTAATTCAGCTAATATTTCAATGCCTTACCTTTCAAACACGTCTTAAACGCAGCTTCTTCACGTAGAGCCCACCCTGGGTATTCCATGGTTTCTGAAAAGTAAGGCAAATGATCAATATACTTTCCGAACATGTTGTTTCTCTTGTTCTATATATTACTCAGTTTCACAATATCTTTTTTTTCATGGTGCTTGGTGTTTTTGTAGTATTTAAAGCATGGATTGCTTATACCATCAGACTCATCAAACTCATTCAAGGATTCCCTTCTGTGATATCTGGACTACCCACAAATTGTAACAGTTCCAGCTAGTCCAACCCTGGACGAAGATGAGCCAGAAGAAACCCTAGATACCCGAGCCGGTCCTATTGACAGGGACACTGGAAATATAGAGCAACTCACGTATCCAGGGCAACCAAGTCCAACCACAGTTCAGCTAGTCTGAGCTAACTCTCCAGTTGTTTCTAGGCACAGAAACATTGGAGACACAGGGAGACCAGAATATACAGATAGAATAGAACTAGACTGTCTAGCTAATACATCAGGAGCTGCTCCATACTCTACAGAGGATTCTATACAAGAACCTGATCTTGTTCGTGGATTGAAGCAGCTAGAATACCAGTATAGATCAACGACTCCAGGAGAGAAGGATCTATGAGGACAAGATCTATACATCCTCCAGATATGAATGAGATAATCCAGGATACCAGATACTACATCATCCTGAGATTGGAGAGGTTGCTCTTTGTAGACAGCTCTTCACTTATCTGGAGCAGCTAGATAATCCAGTCAGAAATAGGAGATCCACTCAATCTCATCCAGAGATTTATATCCTTTAGTTCTGGGACTGGACCATTTACTCTTGTACCAGCCTGTCTAAAATACCATTCAGGATTAGGAATAAGGATATCAAGAACTAGAATATCCAAGATACAGATATGAACTAGAAGCTCTAGGATACCGAGGGGGAACTAAGGATATCAGGAACTAGAATATACAGGATACAGATAGAAACTAGAAGCTCTAGGATACCAAAGATAACTAAGGATATCAGGAACCAGAATATCCAGGATACAGAGAGAGACCAGGAGCTCTAGGATACCAAGGGGAACTAGGATATCATGAGCTAGGATATCATGAGCTAGGATATCATGAACTAGGATATCACAAACTAGGATATAAATAGTGAATAAAGCATGGTGTAAAGATTAGATGAATCATCTGATGCAAAAACCCTCAACCCTTTGTCTGAGTTATAGTTATAAGAGAACCTGGAGAATAGGATCAGTGTACCCAGAACCTTAGAATCGAATAGACATTGAGCAAGCTCTGTTTATTCCTTCAAAGGTCTTTGGGGACTTACCCTTTATTGAATGCTAACAGAACACTCACAGATAACTGATAAGAGGTAGAGCATACTTGGATACTTTGGATATTAGTGCATATTGTGGACACTGGAGATCAACCGAGATGCAGAGCATCCTACAGATCTAGAGATTTAGAGCAGATTGGAGATCAACTGAGATGCAGAGTATCCTACAGATCAAGGAGATGAGTAGATGGGAGATCAACCGAGATGCAGAGCATCCTACAGATCAAGGAGATATAGAGTAGATGGGAGATCAACCAAGATGCAGAGCATCCTACAGATCACAGAGATATAGAGCAGACTGGGGATCAACAGAGATGTAGGACAGACTACAGATCCTACAGATGATGGGGGATAATGCAGATGCAGATAATGCAGATATCAAAGATGCTGTAGATACTGTGGACACTGCAGATAGGGAGGATACTGTAGATACCATAGATGTTGCAGATACTGTGGAGACTGTAGATAGATACTGTGGCAGATTGATAGAGAACTAGGATGATCATAAATCACCAGTTGTATTAACTTCAGGAGAGCTACAAGAAGAGGATCATAGATCTGTGGCAGATTGATAGAGAACTAGGTTGATCATAAATCACCAGTTGTATTAACTACAGGAGAGCTACAAGAAGAGGATCATAGATCTTTGGCAAATTGATAGATAACAAGGATGATCATAATTCACCAGTTGTATTAACTTCAAGAGAGCTACAAGAAGAGGATCATAGATCTGTGGCAGATTGGTAGAGAACTAGGTTGATCATAAATCACCAGTTGTATTAACTACAGGAGAGCTACAAGGAGAGGATCATATATCTGTGGCAGATTGATAGATAACAAGGATGATCATAAATGACCAGTTATATCAACTACAGATGAACTACTGAGGGACTCCTTAGCCCTATGGAATATGATCTATGAATGAGATAGCTAGGATTGATCAGGATATATGATCTATAGAAGGATTAGCCGGGACCACATCTAGCACATCAGGGAACAGAAGCTCAGATGAACTACTGAGAGACTTTTTAGCCCTATGGAGTGTGGATTAGATAGGAAACCGTTATAACAAATATATTTGTGTCAATAAAATGTAAACTAACAAATCTCGTTATTAAACCTATGTTTGAGGATCTGAAGAAATAGCTATTATGAGTAAAGTTGGTTACATTATGGCACGGGAATAAGTAGGAGAAAACCTTTGCACAAACCCTTATGGTAGAGGGGCAATTGGTGAACCTTGCTATTCCTAGGATTTATGTCTGGGATTGAAGATAAACGAAGAGACCGATAAAACATTTCATTTTCAACTGAAAGATTTTTCAATGAATCATCCAAAGAAAACACTTTTATCTCTGTAGACGATAAAAAGCTAAATTCAAAATGTTGAAAAATATTCCTCCAAATTTCCAAATAAGTTCCTCTATGAATCGTGAAGAAATTCAAAAAAAAATATGGTTTTTTACCAAAATTTAGTTATCTGCCAAAAATTGTAATTCTACCAAAGTACAGCTTTGGCCAAAAATTGCATTTTTTTCGCATAGCTACAAATTCAATAATCCCTCATTACTGTGTTGTTCATGACAATGAACATCAAGCAATCCTCCAAAAATGCAATGACCCCTCTCAGGTTTATTTTAGGAAGGAGGGGGTCCTTCCTAAAATGAACCTGATTGAAATGCACTATTTCAAATAAAAGGGCCAGGTATGTTCTCTCTGTCAATTGACCCTCCCCTCCTTCCTAAAATCACCCCTCTCTCCTCCCTCCATGAAATGACCCTTCCCTCCTCACTAAATTGAGTTTGACCCTAAACTCCTCCCCTCCTCCCTGCAATGACCCTAAACTCCTCCCCTCCTCCCTGCAATGACCCTAACTCCTCCCTTCCTCCCTGCAATGACTCTAAACTCCTCCCCTCCTCCCTGCAATGACCCTAACTCCTCCCTTCCTCCCTGCAATGACTCTAAACTCCTCCCCTCCTCCCTGCAATGACCCCTACTCCTAAAATGAACCTGCCTGAAACAATGCACTATATTTTGAATGAAAGGCCGGGTAGTTCTCTGCCAAGGCCTCCGAGAGGAAAGTTTCCAGTTGAATTCTGCATGCTTTACCAGCCGCAGGACAAAATAAAGTTATACAGTATTTTGAATTTAGATAATGTTGTTCAACATTACGAACAGAATTAGCGCGGATTATAGAAGTTTGTTAGATCTTCCTAGAAATCTGTTCAATAGTTTCAATAAAATGTTCGTTTTTGCGAACATGTTAGGTTTTTAACAGTGAATTTATGTGATATAAAAGCTGCATTTTTTTAACAGTTCCGAAAAATTAACAGTTAAGTTAAAATTTAAACAAAATTGAAAAAAAAATTCTGTTTTAAGCACAAACAGTTAAAAATTTTCAGTTATCGTTAAAATAAAAATGTTTTAAGACAAGTGATCAAAACACACAGTTTTTTAGTTTTAGCATGGCTTTTTTATAAAAAAATCTGAGCACGTATAAAAAATTGAATTAAATTACCCAGATTTTACTTTTTTTAAATTACAGAATTATAATATATATTCAATTAAATTTCTGCACAAAATAAACATGCGTATTGTCCATGACAGAAGTTTCTGCAAATTGCAAAAGAATGTTCATAAACGACCTAGAATTATTTATCATCCTCACCATTTTTCTCAAAAAATATGGAAATTAAACGACGACAAATAACAAATAACCTGTGAACAAATTATAGTGCGATCTTCGCTGAAAACGATTAACACGATTAATTGTCTCCGGAATTTCAAAATGCCTTTACTTCATTTTTTAAAACAACATAAAATATTTTCGATTTGTCTCTATATTTACATGTTTATTCATTTTCGAGACGCTCTGTATTTGTACAGGGTGAGTAAAAATCCGGGAATACTATGTGTTGGATAAAATTGTCTAAATTTTTGTTTTGTTCAGGTTTTAGATAAAAAATAATGTAATAAAAAATCAAAAATATTTTGGAACATTGAAAAAAGAAGACGATAAAATAAATTTTATATTTGAAAAATTCATTCAAATTTTTATTAGAATTAACAAAAAATGTAAGTCAATGATTTGCATTTTTGAAGTCATAACAGTTCATAACAGTTCATAACAGTTCATAACAGTTCATAACAGTTCATAACAGTTCATAACAGTTCATAAAAGTTCATAACAGTTTATAATAGTCATAACAGTTGATAACATTTACTATAAGAGATTTCCATTTTAAATTTTTGCGGATTTTTTTTATATCTTATTCAAGTTTTAATTAATTTTTATGAAATTTTGGAAAACAGCAGATCATATATTTTTCTAAAAAGTTAGGTTTTGCGGATTTTTCTAATATTCCGAACATTTTGTTCAAAACATCGATAATTCCGTTTTTTAAGCTCACCCTGTATATTATCAATATATAACAAATAATAATTTTTTCCGTTTTCATTGAAAAAAACAAAATTTCAAAGGGACAAAATTATTAAATTTTATCTGTTCGGAGGTGAATGATCCTGCCAAGTTTCCTGGGTTTACTTGATTTGTCAGGAATGTTGATTGTAAAATCAATATCAGACATGGCTGCATACCAAACCTTGCAGTCCAGACTAACTTTCTTGCATATCTCTTGAAAAGACATAAAAAGAAAAATTTGGCCGAATCTAAGAAAATACTAATTTTAAGATATTTAAGTTTTATAAGAATGATTTTT